CATCACCTTTGACTCAAAACGCTCATCCAAACCATTTTAAAGCGAAAAACATATTAGTGTAGCTCAGCTCGCTTTCCACCACATGGATTGGAATAAATTAATTTCCTCCCCATGCGGTTAATAATAGCAAAACACAAAGTTTAGCACCACCTCCTTTGGTCGAAAGCTGCCATGTTAGCGTTAGCTCTGTGAGCACGTTAGCATTCTGGCGTTAGCATTTTAGCCCAACACAGTTTACAAGATTCATTCCTTGAGAAAACATTTTGCACTTATTCATCCAACCCAGCACTCCGATCAAACGACAACATTCCTATTTCACTTCCATTGGTCTTGTCAACATTTTTGTGCTTCGACGTTCTTGAATTTGTTTACACGAGGGGTTCAAATTCAAATCTTCAGTCTGATGAGTACGTCATGAGGATTCGGTTTGGGGAAAACTCTTTGCCCGTTCTTCTTCTTCTCTTCGGAGTGGCCTCGGTTCATGTGATCAAGAGCGATTTTCCATCTGGGTTCCAACAGTCTGAGGCTTTCTTTTGCCCGTCCCGTTGCTCACAGTGGACACCTGTAGGAGAATCCAGCAGCGACACTTCCAAAAGGTCAGCGAGGTTTAAAGTTACACACACACAGGAAAGACGATCTTTTTTTAAACACGAGGTCAAATTCACTCCTTAACGTCCACTTTTAGAAGGAAACTAGTTTAAAGGATAGACGACAGAAAGAAACGGCTTCTCCAGAAATCTGCTCAGAGACACGACAGGGACGCTCGGCTCGTTTACACTCTCTTGTTGAAAGAAATCTCACCCCTCCCTTCCTCATGCCCCCTTATTCATCCATTCACTTGACATTTTCTACACCCCCCGTCCCTCCCATTCCTTCCTCTTTGTATTTCTTGAATCCCGCTCCACGCCCGTCCTCGTCCCCCGATGCACATCCCCCCTTATATAATCACCCCCCTCTTGTATACATTTTATACGCTGTATACTTTGACGCAGACGCCGCGTACGTTTGCGTACGCCAGGGCCTGCCTCTCGTCTCCATCGTATGCCATTCATATCTATGTAGCGCTCACTATGTTTTATCGACACTGTAGTCACCAATACGACTCTTCCTCTCATCATTATTGCTCATTCTTCTCCTGCAGTTAGCATCGTACGACTATAATCTCATGTCTCACGTCTACCGCCCCGTGTCCATCTCCATCCCCGCTCCGCCACACGAGCCCCGCCCCCCCCATCTTATGACCCTCCACTCCACAACGGTAGAAGAAGGTTGTGATGTCAGAAAAAAAAATAAAAGAGAAAGAAATCGAGGGAGGAGGAGGTGCGTAGGGGAGGGTGGGTCGAGAAAACCGCTCACACGATTATTGACGACGACGAAGAGAAATGTCTGTAGTATAATTACAAAAAAGGAAAAGTGCACTATTATGACAATGATTATTATTGCCTGTGAGAAATACTGACCAATAAACAACAATGGAAATATACACGCGGGGTGTCCGTGTCCTGTTTGAAAATGCTCAATGGCAGCAAGATTGCTGTTCTAGGTACTGTCCTGGTTCATTTATTCACTTCCTGGACTCCTGTTTAGCTGGATAATAGGCATGCTGTACGATGCAAACCACAGACTTGTTCAAAATAGAGCTCCCTCTGTCTTTACAAAGTTGGTTCAGATAAGGACCAGCCATAAAATAAATCAAAAATGCCAACAAAAAAACTTTTTTTGTCTAATATTTAAATCTAAAAAGTTTACAAGGATTTTCTTTTGGTGATTTCACGTGTTTTCTAGTTTTGTCTGTATAGGTATTATCACAGTCACAATGAATAAATCAGAATCAGAAACACTTTATTGATCCCCTAGGGGGAAATTGCTTTTCAGATACTCCTAATCAAAAGTCTTAAAGAAGTAGGAAGTAAAAATATATAACAAAATATAGAGTATCAATATGAAAATAAAATGCAAATATAACACAAAATAAATATAAATTCTGCTGTTGTACGTGTACATACAGTGTAATAATACAAATACAAGAGCAATGATGAAGCAATCTGTTTTTTATACCTCATGATAGCAGTAACATGATGCTGCAGCACCTGAGGGATCACATTTAGTGCAGAACAGCATTTTCCTTGAATGCCGTTTTTTTGCACATGAAGTTTCCTCTGAAGCAAATGATGAGGAATTAGTTTAATGACAATCATGAATCTGATTTTTAATAAACAAAATGGGAGCACAATGACAAAAACAGCATGCGGTCTGACAGTCGTGACACTGCTGCCATCTCCCTGCCGCAACAAGCACACAAGTAGACTTCCTGGACAACTTTCCAAATTGAGGAGAACGTCTCAAAAGCGACGCATTCTTCCAGAAGAATCTGGGCCTTCAGCAGCTGTAGCAACAACTGGTGTCAAAAAGCAGGGGAGAAAAAGGGAACATCCGCGTCAAGGGCAGGAGGCCTTAATATAGACCTCACATGTATGTAAATGGAAGAGGCCATGTGGGCCTCACAAAGCCCCAGAGGCTCGTAAACCTCCGGACTGGAAGAGGCCCTGCTGCAGGCCCAGAAGAAATGTGAAAAGACGGTGACAAAATAGCAAGTAATGAGGAGGCTGAAGAGGCCTCAGAGGAGGAACAAAAGAACCGTAGTGGATGAGGAAGTTTCAGAAGAAGCACCAGAACTACGGCCAGAACTAAAGCTGATGGTGGATTATCTGATGTGCATGTGGCCTGACTTGATCTATGGACTGCCAGGAGGAATCTTGAGCCACACGGTTTAAAGGAAAACAATAAGAGGAGAAGGAGGGGGAAAAGAAAGTAATTTAAAAGCAGAAACTATAAAGAAGAGGGCCTACTTAATCAGTCAGGGGTCATGAAAATGTATGATGAAATGAGTGACTATCTACAATTGACAAACTTTTGGTTTCAGTTTCTATAGTTAATTTCTCTATTCGTGACAATTGCAACGGGAGAATTTTTGTATAATTCACCCGTTTAAATTGCATTAAGGCTTAAATTTGTGCAGAATAATCTATCTGATTTGTTAAACGATTAAAAGAAATGTGAGACAGCATAAAGATCAGAAACCTTTAGATCATTTTGGTATCTATCGGGTCTCCAACATCCTGGCTGACTGAGCAAGTATTGCCACTGTAACGGAAATTAAGGCTCTCTAATGATATAATAGATAATATTCAACGTTATCTATTTAACACTTCTCAGAAACAGCTGCAAAGTGCTTCATAGGACAAAACTGATTGACAAAAAATGATAAAAGTATTTAAAAACAGTATTTTTTTTTCTGTTTCCTTGTTAAAAAGCTATTACATCCATTTATTGTGTCTGACAGTGTGAAGTTCAAGTGCTTGTTTTAAGTGTTGGATTGTTTTCTAGGTGAGCTTTTGTTTCATTTTTTTTTTCCATGTTAAAGGTTCAAGAGCATAAATTAGAACCATGTGTGAAACAGGGAGGCTCCTGAAGGCAACACAGCACCTGATTTAAACCCTTTAAACGTGTAACTCCTTTGAAAATAGAAAATAATGTAAACTAAAGGTGAATCTAAGTGTCAAATAGATCTTTGTGTTTATTATACACATTTTTTGAGTCCATATAAGTCACATCAGGGCGTGGGCGGGTCTCCCTGTGTGATGTAACGATAGGATCAGAGACGAGGTCTCACTCCGACAAAAACACAGAATCCAGAAGATGCTGAAGCAAAGGCAGCACCACAAATCCTTCCTTCCTGTCCTGCTGCTGCTCTGTCAAATGACATCCCGTCTGTCTGTGTTGTGTCACATCTGCTTCTGCTCTATTCTCTTATTTATATATAATACCATTCTACAGTACTGTGCGGCACATTAATGCTCATTGTTTTTAAATATAGAGCAACGATCAAACGCTTCTGACTCATTAGTCATAAAGAAAAATGATGATTTTGGGGAAAATGTGTGACTGACGTTAAGTTTCAGCATAGAACAGATCTAAATCATGTGATGTAGCTTTACCACACGGCATGCCATCACAATATTGTGTGTTTTAACAGAAAGACGGGAACTTAAAAGTCCATCAAGGCCCACACATCCAGACTCATCAACACATTCTACTCAAGAGCAATACTAGAACCGAATGCACACTAGTCAACAGTCTGTACTATTTATCACATAAATATATTATTTATATTGTACTATGTTATACACTATTTTATATATGTATATATTATAATTATGTTCTAATTATTATATATTATACTAGATTTTGTATATATTTTATGTATATTATGTTATTTAGATTCATTATTCAATAATCATTTATTTATATTAATTATATTTCTCATACATCCACAGTGTTCCTACGTCCACAGTGCAATATATTTATTCTAGTGTTAGACTAACTGTAAATAAATCCTGCTGGCTCCTTTTGTAAATATATGTATATATTCTTATTTGTCTTTTTCTACTTTTACTTTAATACATTTGCACCACTGGAGTCATCCTTTAATTTCGTTGTACCTTGTGTATGATGACAATTAAAGTATTCTATTCTATTCTGTTCTATTCTGTTCTATTCTATTCTATTCTATTCTATTCTATTCTATTCTATTCTATATAATTCTTAATTTGATTCCAGAAGATAGCTGAATACAGACAATGGAAAAATAGATGACGTAAGGATTCCGTTTTATTTTTATAGAGGGCACATTTATTTCAATTTCCGAAAATTTGCACAAGCATGAATTTGTTACCTACATATTGTGTAAAACATTAACGTGTACTTGTTTAACTTTATTATTAATACTGAATTTTTATGGTGGCAGCCATGCTCTTTGCCAATTAATATCTGTTAAGATACCATTTCCATTTCTGGGACTTCTTCCTTTTTTCCGGAAAACAGTTCCACAAATTAAAACTCTTGAATGTCGTCACTTCCGGACTACATTTCTGCTGCGCATGGACAGTCGGAGTGGCTCCTCTGTCCGTTGGTCCTATCTGCGCAGCTGCTGGCACTGATCGCTAGCGGAGGCTCCAGCAGCAGCAGCAGCAGATCAGGCGTCTCTCTGTCAAGCTTCTCGCCGAGAAACACCCACGAAAACACGCTTCAGGTAAATCCCCACTCGTGTTTTCTCACCTCTCATCGAATTTCCTCCTCAGTTTCCTTCTGGTTAACGAACAGTGGTCGCTTTGATGTGTGTGTGTGTGGAAGCATCGCGCTGGGTGGGAGGTGGTGCCCGGGCATGAATGGACCTCTGTGGACTCCCTGGCTCCGGTTCGAGGCTACAGTGAGACTATGCTAATAGAAGTGTAGTTCACAACAAGTATTGTAGTGTTGCTCTGCTCTGTGCATTGTTGTTGTTGTTGTGTGTGTTTCCTCCCACTCGGGGAAGTGATGGAGAGCAGCAGCAGCAGCGTGGCGAACTAGTTCCTTTAGTGCTTTTTATTCCAACAAGTCCCACACAGGAGGAAACTTGGCTAAAAACGTTATTTATTTGGTTTTTATTGTTTCTAGCTGTGGGGAAGCGCTCCAGCTGAGGGCTAGTCTGTTGTACATCTCTTTACAGTTTGCTTAACGTTTCCAAAACATGAAAATCAAGTCACACGCAGATAAAAAAACGCGATGTTCGCCGCATATTTCAGATATTTCCCATTAGCTGGACCAGTGAGAGCAAACAAACGCCCCTTAAAGCCTCTTAAATGTCTGTTTATACGTGTTATAGTTCAACTTTTGCGTCACCACGCCTTTAAAACGGCCCAAACGCTGTTATTGCACATTACATAAAGCCAATGTGTTGATATAGTGAGAGGGAGCGTGAACGCGCGTTTCTTCCCGCCGCCCCTCGTGCCCGCGCGAGACTTGCAGCCTTTCAGCTCCTGCAAGTAAAACCAGTTCATCAACACTGGAGCGCACAATTTAGAGCGAAACGACGATTTGCAGCCTAACTGGTCTTTGTTTTCAGGGGTGTTGCAGCGCAGCTTACTCACTCGAATATCCAGTTTTCTTGGGTAAATTATTGTCAGTGTTGGAGGGTTGCTTTAGCAAAATAAACCAACACACTAACTGATCACGTGTCCCAATAATAGGTGATCATATCTTAATTATACATTAATCTAACTTGATTACTTAATAGTACGTTTGGATGACCGCAATACCAAATATTCAAATTAAGGCGACACAAAATAAATGACTCTCACTTAAATGCATTCTGTAATTTGTGTGAGTATCTGGGTTTATGTGTTGGCACATAGATGGAAGATCATATAATAAACTTATTTTAATTCATTCTAAAAGCAATTGGGTGATGTAGCATTTAAACAGGCCAGCAGAAGAGATGCGCTGTGTACCTGTTGGGGGAAAAGTTCAACCCATAATGCCCATATCACTGGACTGTGGAGCTGGCAACCAGTTTTTATGAGTTTTGTTTTTATATTCTGATTTACTGAGTAGAAAGGTCGCGTTCTGTAGGTAGTTTCAGGAAGCATCCAGTAATGCAAATATCCTGATGGGAGACTGTGAGAACTCTCCGTCCTGAAACAGTCGACATGGCAGACACATATTTCAGATTAAGAGCAGATCAGACTCTTAACTGGCTTTAAAGTTACCTGTATTTGTCGCAGTGATTATTTTGATTTCTGCATTTTTTATTTATTTTTATTATTCATGGCTGCATGCATTTGCAGTAATACATGTACAGCATAACTTAAACTACACTTATTGGCAGTATTTTCCCACAAGAAGCTGGATGAATCGGGTTAAAAGCTTCTCCTTGTGTGTACATCTGATCTTTACAACTCGTCCCCGTTTGGTTGCTCATTAGACACAGAAATAAACATCCCCTTGGAGACAAAATATTTGCAGTCGCAGTAATTAGCTGGTAACCACAACAACAACGGTTGGATTTGGATTAGCTTCAAGTCGGGCTGGGGCGGAACAATATACAGAAGAAGTCATATTTTTGAAGATATTGGTGATATGTGTCACAAATTTATGTGAATTTGTTTTTCTTTTCCACTGAAAGAAAAATGATATGACTCATGCTGCAATCAATACCAAACAAGAATGTTTTTCTTATTGCCTATTACGGTTTTGTCCATATTTTTTTCTTAATTGTTTGGAATTAGTTTATGCTGCTCTTTTAACTACTACTACATTTGAGTCACACGTCCAGTATGTCTCAAAATAACCACCTGAAGATGTTTGAAATTGACAGAAAGTTGTAGGAGATGTAAAATATTTGGTGTTATTGCGCCGCAGGTGACGCATCTCTGAGCTCAGTTTGTGCAACCTGAACAAAAATTATGAAATGTCATTTTTATTTGTTTCTATCGATGCTTCTTTCCAGCGTTGTGTGAGCAAGGACGTCTCGGTATTTCCTGCTATTTCAAACAAAGTTATTTTAAGTTTGATTGTTGGTTTGTAGTGTTTTGCATCGGCACGGAAGTGAAGGCTGGACTTGGATCTGTACAGAAATCGAAATAAACGTGTCCTGACTCGCCATTGCCTCGTTAATATAGGTGAAGGTTCAGATTATTAGTCACAAGATGCAGGAAGCACAGCGTGGGCCTTTAAGGGACGACTACAGAGGACAGTGATCGTTTCAGTAAAGGTGATGAGTCTGTGTTGGCCTCTTTGTCAGAAATCTATGCATTTGTAACCATTTGATAGGCAACAATGTCTATTATACATGAGTTAATGAAACCCAATTTAGAAAAACTGTATTTTATAGGGCTGGTTAGCACCGTTGCCTCGCAGCTAGAAGGTCGCCGGTTCGTGTTCCGGTGAGGCCACCCGGGATCTTTCTGCATGGAGTCCTCATGTTCTCCCCATGCAGCGTGGGTTCTCTCCGGGTTCTCCGGCTTCCTCCCACCCTGAGTCAGCTGGGATACACTCCAGCCCCCCATGACCCTAGTGAGGATTAAGTGGTGTATAGATAATGGATGGATGGATGTATTTTATATTCTCAGATCATTTTCGTGCTTCTTCTTTGGCCCTGGCTTGAATCTCTTTTTCGTGGGTGCCAAAAACATCTTGATGAAGAACAAACCCTGTCACAGTTTAGATTTTGATTAAACAGTTAAATGGAGTTATGTTTAGAGCACGGATTACCGTTATGCACAAATCATTCTTAGACCCTTTTAGCTGCGTCATCCCCCTTCGGTATCCATAGCATCAGCAGCTACACAAACTGTGAGACGGTTACCTCATGCACACGTTTCCTCCCACATTCACACGTGCTAACAATGAAATAGCTGCGGGATGTGAGAAATATGCAGATAACAGTCGCACGGCTGGCTAAACGAGAAGGGGAAGTTAATGCACACACACACACACTGGCATGCAACCTCAAAAAGATTATATGTTGACCTACTTTCTATACGTTATGCCACCGTAACTGTATAGTTGTCATGTCTGCAGCCAGCATGCACCAGAGGCCTCGTTCATCTGCTGTGCTTTAGTCTGTCTTGTACCTGTCTACCGTCGGCCGTCAAAGGCCTTTTGAAAGTTACTGGGCTTTGTGCATGCAGCAGATGTTTTCCAGATAGTTTCCGTCCGAGTTGTCATTGTCTGTTTAGCCGGTGACTCACAGTTTCTTTTGGTTCTCCTCCACGTTTTCCCGGCTCGCAAAGCGACGACACGAGATTTCTGTTCGCTCCCTCGTCAGTCTGAATGATAAACGCTCGAGTTCAAATACGCCAAACCCTGATTAGAAAGTTAGATGTGAAAACGCCCTGAGATAGGGAAAAGAAAAGATTAAATTTAGGCATAAATTTATCCGAGCAAGTCTTCAATTTCCTCCAGAAACGGCCTTTTGTCTTGAAGGTGTCGCGCTTTTATTCACCAAGGTTGAAACACGTTGGCAGCAATGTTGGTTCTGAGATGTTTTTGCGGGCTATCAGGAGATCTACAATCCATTCAGGAATATTTAGTCAGTTTTTTTCTGCAGCATCATGAGAACTATAGCAAACACTCTCTATGCATTAAGTATATTATCGTCAGAGCATATTATTAGCTGGTTCATTCATCTATTTTGTAGGACACATTCATTTGATCATTAATGTGATGAGAAATTCTGCTTATTTACCCTTTAAGTAAGCCCTTTATGACCTTAAAAATGCATTCAACATGCTGTTTAAAAGGCCTAACTGTGCATTTACTCTGCTTCAGCTCTGTGTCACGCTGATTTGTAATGTTTTGCTTGCTTGCTTTTTAAGAGGAAATGACCGCCGCTCTTATTCCATTCATACGTCCATTACAAGTTAACCGAGGACCCGGACGCCTGCTCCGCTCTTTCCTCGCTTTTCCCTCGCGCACTAACCTGCCGCATGCCTTGCTTCGAGGCGATCAGTAACTCAGAGATTGTTTGTTCATGCCTGTCATTTTTGTGGTTTCCTGCTTTCATCACAAGACTTCCTTCTTTCAACTTGCTCGGCTGGAAATCAAGCAGAGTGAACATACTGTCTGATAAAGAAGTATTTATTCGCCATAATATGATTAGCTGAAATATCTTTCAACGAGCTGCGCAAGTCATGTTACGACCAGCCGCAAATAATGTTTCAGTGTTTGTTGATAGCTGCAAAAGCTACGAGCTGCATAGTCACAGTCTGTACTGTCACTGGAGATAAACCAAAAACTGAAAAGGTTTATTAGTATTAACAAAATAAACCAACTTGATGGCAGGTTTACAGGCCTTTTAACAGCAGACACTTGGTGTAACATACTTGTCAAGCTAAAATGTGCCATATCGCACTGAAGCAGCTAAATATTTACGTCTGTGCTTCTCCTGCTGTGACATGTTATGTCTTTTGCGGCTTCAGGGTTTCCCCCGGATCCTTAAAACGTCTTTAAAGTATTGCATTGCAAACATTTAAGGTCATGTAAGTGTTATTTTTACTTGTGAGAGGTGTGAAATTTTGAGTGTCTCTATCAAATATAGCCACATTACTGTATGTAGTTAGAGTTACACAGATTTGTTTG